TTTCACGATGTCTTAGTTACCGATATTACACAATTTTACTGTCTCAACTAAAATATCATCATAGATAAATTAAATCACAACAGTACAGTACGTACCCCAATGTAAAATAGAAATCAGCTTAACGAATAGTATAGCATTTACTTTAAAATTTCTCTCATCTCTACTAAAGGGGTGTCTCTGTTCATGAAAAACCGTTTTTTATTTCCAATTTCTACTATTTTCCTTCTGCGCCAAGAATTCCGTCAAAGGGGCTTTTCCTTACATTTTATTTAATGTAACGCGTGACGTCACGCTATGCCAACAAAAAGCGGTTGTTGCTGGGATACAACATGGCGAAGATCAGGTACAATGACATAAATGTCTGTTTCACGTGTCGATAGAAATATGGGATAAGGGCTCATATTTACGAGACAAACCACAGATCTACACAATAGGTAAGTCAGTTGTTTTTTTTTTTTTAAAGAATCCGGCGTTTGTCCTGAAATGTCCTGAATGTTCATTGATCCCCTAGCTTGATCTTCGACGTCGCTCGATATTTTGTTACACGCTCTGTCATTATTTTCGCCTTCGTTTCCTTTTTTCCTTTCTCACTCTCAACGGGAGTTTGATTTATTTGATATATTTATTTGATTTATAAAGTGAAATTCTGGTGTTAAATTTATCAATCTGCCATTGAATTGAATTTATCAATCTGCCACTTTAAAATTCTCGTCATAATTATTATTGCCAGACGGCCTCGCCGGCTAGATTTGCGGGAAGAATTTTTCTTTCTCCTTATTTGAGAAATTTGGACAAGTTATCGAGGTCTCAGTAGCTGGACAATCCTCTCTTTCTTACATAAAATCATCGAAATGTTCACCTTGAAAGCTGGGGTAAGGCGAGACTGTTGAAAAACCCAAACAGCCCGGCTTGTCGTGGCCGTTTATTTTTAGTTTCGACGGGAATGTGGAATTGTTTGACACGGGTTTGAGCGCATTGAAACCTTGCTGCCCTCTCTTCTGGATACGGGTCGTGGCACAACAACGTCATAAATGCAGCCGACTGAAACAATATTTTAGACCGAAGGCAAGGATTATAAATTTTACGAGATGAACAGCGAATTTAAAAAGGCCATACATTGTAGGTGAATGATATCGCTTACATAGTGATGTGTGAATTTTAATGTAATCTTAACTTATCAATGATTTAGAACGTTCGTGTTTTACTCTACCACATATGGCGAGTGTATAATTTGAAAAGCGTTTTAACCAGGGCAAGAATTGTCTGGTGCGTTAATTCCCTACATTGTTTTTTGGACAGTTGTTGGTATTTGAATTTTACATCAATGAAATGAAATTTATTTTGATTGATTTACCATTTGATATTCCAAAGGCAGGCGTATGGCGAACGAAAGTTCAAAATATTGCGAAGATTACCTTCTCAGGAAAGAAGGACGAAACAAGGTGAGTTAAAGTTTTCGTGGTGACTAAGATTTTCGAACAGCGGTTTCAGAAATGGTTGCGAAAAGCTGTACTTCACTGTTGGCGGTTGAAAAAATACTGGCTACACTTGAGTAAAAAAAACGTATTCATTCCGGTTGGCACAGGTAACTACAGAAATAAACATTGTTGAACAGGGGTCTTAGTTTACTACTGGATGTCATTAATGTTAAAAAAGAGTTTTTTCTTAAGGAGGCAAGTAGTTGAAGCCAACGTGTGATATATGGCACATATGATCAAGCGCTATGTAAATTTCGCTCAAATTAGCTAACAGTTCAACTTCAACGATTGAGGTTTTAACACGCCAGTGTCTACAAAACCCGCAATAAGAGGCCGAATTTTTGGTATTTTATTGTTGCGAAGATTGAAAAAAGAAACTTTGGGGAGGCTTTTTCTATATTGTGATAGAAAATTTCGAGAGGATTAAAGGAAAAATGGTCGAGTAATCTTTAGTTCTAGTGTAAGTAATAAATGCTAAGTAGATATTGCGCGTGTGGTTCGTAAAGGAAGGGTATATGGTAAAATATGGACTGGACCATTGGACCATTGGACTAATAGACTATTAATTGGACTATTTTTTTGGACCTATCAGTATTCAGGGAGGGGTAGGAGGCAGAGGTGGTTGTATTAGTAAATGCTACTGATTAATAATCTTTTTACTGGATCATGAAAATTATTTTGAGCGATTTTCCGACTATTTTTATGTCAAAATTTACGGGCTGTTGCACAGGGCTGTTTTTTTTGTCATGAGAATGCGAAACAGACGCCTCAACATTTATTAGCAGACGCGATAGAGGATTTTTTAATGATAAGTGAGAAAGCTTGCATTCATTGAAAAATTTTGAGCCTGACAAATTCAGTATCTTCTAACTTTGCTCTCACAAGATCCATGTTCACCCGGGAAGCCTAATGAAACAATTGACCGGTTGTACGAGTCTTGACCAGACTGATCGAATGGTCAGCAATTTATACAATTTCAATACTGTACTGACTTAACGTTCGATGAAAGCACGCCCACTCTTCCGTTTTTTATCTTTTTTTCTCTTAAACGAGTAGGAGTTGAGCGGAGTGTTTAACAAAGAAGATGTAACTTTTTTTAATGAAAAATTTTACACAAGGTTGATTAGTATGCATTAATTAGCGGCTAAAGCAAAACAAATTGTACGAGGAGTTTATTGGTTACGTTTTGTTTTTAGAAGGTCAATTACTACTGACTCTGATGTTTGTGGTGCTACTTTTTAATGGTAGCTTCTTATGAAATTGTCGGCTTATCGAACATTGTGACGACATTTCTTCCTCCATTTGTGCATA